TGGCCCCGGGAGGGCCGGCTCCGGGAGCTAGCCGGGGGGGCGGGGCGGGGCCGGAGAACTTGGTCGGGGAGGGTCGCCCCGGAAGGAGTGCCAGAAGGGACGGTCCCGAGAGGCCAGGCGGCCACGCGAGACCTAAAGCGAGAGAAGGGCCGGGGGCGCGGCCTGCGAGGGGCGTGGCGAGGGGCGTGGCCGCGGAGGGAGGGGCCACCTGTAGACGTTGTTGTGGAAAGAGTTGTAGCTCCCGAGAGCGATCAGGGATCCCAGGCCCAGCCCGTAGGAGAAGAAGATCTGGGTAGCCGCATCCAGCCACACCTACAGGCAGAATCATCCCGGGCTGTCAAAGGAATCATCACAGCCACAGCTCCCCGCGGCCTGGGACGGTGCTCGCCAGCTCTCCTGGCCACAAACCCAGTTCACAGGCGAGGGTCAGAGAGCGGGAAGCGGCGGTTCGGCACCCAGGCTGTGCGCTCCAGGACCCGGCCGCGAGGGGCGCTCACCTCCGAGTCGGACAGCTTGCGGAAGTTGGGCGTGATGTAGAAGAGGATGCCCTCTTTGGCCCCGGGCAAGGTCACTCCGCGGAAGAACAGGATGATCAGCATGATGTAGGGGTACGTGGCAGAGAAGTAGACCACCTGGGAGGACGTGGGCGACGGCTCAGGCCCCTCCAACACGCCATGCTTCTTCCTTTCCCACTTCACCCGCATCCCACACCTGTCGAGACTCTGGGCTTTTCCCCCGTTCTTCCTCCTCCAGGAAGTCTTCCTGGATTCCTGCTCTGCTTGGCCACTTTTCTGAAGCCCCTCCTTGGAGTCTGCACCAACCAGCTAAGTTCTTGGTTTTTCCCTTCCCCTGTTCCCTCCTATTTTTTTAACTTCTGAATTATTCAAGTAATACATGTGGTGACAGGAAAATTTAAAAATTACATATGAACACACACACACACACACACACACACACACACACACAAAGTTCCTTTCAACAGCCTCTAGAATATATTACATGAGGGACAGGGCTTGTGCTGTTCACATCTCTGTTCTCTCCATACCTAGAACAGTCCATGGCATATAGTAGACACCCAATAATTGTCTGACAAATAGATAAATGCCTGGATGCTGGCATTTAATGTTCCTCTTCCTCTTCCTCTGAAACTTTCCTTTGCGTATTTTCTTACAAAATGAGGTTCAAATTACATACTTGTCCTTTCATCTAACATGCTTAAAGTTGAAAAGCACACAGCACATACAGTTTTATTTCCTGCTTTTTCTACTAAACATTGTTTTATTGTCTCATGAACAATATGATTTTTTAATTACACAAAACAGTCCCTCAGGAGGTCTACCATTCCTTTTCACGTGTTCTCTACTGTCATCCATTTAAGTCACCTCCAATTTTATGCGAATCTATACATTGCCACATTAAACATCCCCATATATAAATCTTTAGCTACAAAATTATGCCACTCTTGGGAAAATCTTCTAGAAGTGAAACTGCTGAGTAAAAAGGAATAAGCTTGTCGAAGGCTTTTGCTCCCAATTGCCCATTTGCCTTCTAGAAATGGAATTTCATCCAGCATTACAGAGAGTGACTTTCTCACCCAGAGCCAATACTGAGTATAATCATTTAAAAAATTTGTCAAATTAAGAATCATTGATACAAAAAACTGACCTCGTTGCCTGAAACTGCATTTCTTTGCTCACTAGTGTGGAAGCACAATTTCCACATGCAAAGACATTTGTATCTCAGAGTCTGATGTGAGCCTACTTCGACTCCCTGAATTGACTTTGAGATTCTTCAGGATTAGGGAAGGCGGCCACGGTCCACTAGAGAAACCACTGTCCTTGGAATTAGGAAAAGGGAATTCAAAATCATCTATGTCACCTATGGGCTATGTGACTTTGGGTTGGTTTCTCATCCTCTCCAAGCTTGGCATTCTCTTGTCTGGATGGATATAACCACCCTTGCCGCTTAGAAAGGTCAGTTGCATGAGGATATACAGCATGCTTAACATATGTTGCCTAGGTGCTATACTTCCCTGTGTTTTCTATGTTTAGCATGAAGCCAGGCACACAGTAGGTGTTCAGTAAATGCTTGTGGACCCTCAATAGATGCAGTGAGATAGGTCCTACTTGCTGTCCCCAAGAAGTGTTCTGTCTCTCAATATAGCAGGAACTCTAGCCACCATCCCAAAATGGTTATACTTGATACTAGGTGTTCAGTTCCTAGGAATGTGCTAAGCATTCTGCATGTCTCCCTCAGTCTTTGTGACAGCCCTGCAAGGCTCTGCTATTGTGGCCATTTAACAGATGAGGATAATGAGGCTCAGAGAGGTGAAATGTCTTCCCAAGCACACACAGCTAGATACCCAGAGATTGAGATTCAGTCTGTCTTCCAGAACCTTAAAGCCTACACTTTTCTGCTCTCTAAAGTTGGACTGGGAGATACCTGTGCCTCTCTCATGTCTCCCTAGTGCTAGGGACAGATCCGAGATATTTTGACACCTACCTTGGACCTGAGAACCCAGTGGGTCCCAAGTTCCCACCAGACTGAAACAGGGCAGTTTTTCAACAGCTCTGCCCATGCCCCAGTGTGGAATTTGTTAAGGTTCAGCTTGGTTCATTTCTACTCCCTCTTCTAGGACCTTGCATCTGCTTCTTGGGTAGTTCTAACCTCCCTGCCTCCAGCCTCATTCAGTTCAAATCCCTTCTTTGCCCTTTGCTTGCTGTGTAAGATCTCAGACAACACACTTGCCTTCTGAGTTTCCTTCGGGCCAGGGCCACTGAGAGACTCTGCCACCTTCTGTGCCTGAATGCCGGGGGTGGGGCTTGAAAGGGGAAGAGGTGGGAACTAAGGTCAGTTCCCCTCATCCTGGCTTGATCAGGCAGCTCTCTGGGGGTTCCCAGGCTAAACATCCCAGCTTGTCATTGCCCTGCACTTGCTGATAATAAAAACAAGAGCACTGTAATCCAGCATGTTTGGAGGCTGAGGCGAGAGGGTTACCTAAGCCCAGGGGTTCGAGATCAGCCTGGGCAACTTGGTGACACCTCGTCTCCACAATAAATCAAAAAGTTAGCTGGGCATGGTAGCACGTGCCTGTAGTTCCAGCTACTTGGAAGACTGAAGTGGAAGAATCGCCTGAGCTCAGAGGTCGAGGCTTGCAGTGGCCATAAGTGTGCCAATGCACTCCAGCCTGGGCGACAGAGTGAGACTCCAACTCAAAAAATAAATAAATAAAAATCAAAAGAGCAATAACAGTTCCCCTTGCTAAGTGCTGAGTGCTTTGTAAATCACCATCGTAACTGATTATCGTAACAAGCCAACCGATACGTGTAATTATTTGCCCCATTTCACAGAGAAGATTGAGTTTCAGGGAGGCAAAGTGACTTGCCTGAGTTCACAGCCAGTATATAGCTGAGATCTGAACTCAGGGCTGTCTGAGCACAGAGCCTGAGTACTAAACCACTGAGTGGCCCATCTCTGTTGTTCCTCAGGGGGCAGGATGTGAAGCTTTTGTCTCTGGAGCCCTGCGCCTCGAACAAGACTTGGCACGGAGCAGATGCTCAGGGAGTTGTTCAGTGGTCCTTGAGCAAGACTTGTCCTCTGTTTTGGGATGGCTCTCTCAGACCCTGTGGAGTCTCCTGGGACTCGCCATGAGCCTAGCACTGCACTAGTGCCCGACTTGCATTTATTTCCTTTACTCGGCACCAACTGCCCTGGGAGGTGTGATCTCATCCCCATTTTACGGGAAAGGAAACTAACCCAGAGAGCTGAAGGGACCTGCTTAACTCAAGGTTGGATGGGGGTCCTAGGAGGGATGGGCTCCTTGCCCAGGGCAGAGTTCCTTTGTAGACCTGTCCCCTGTCTGGGGCCCTCCTGACCCCATTGTGCACATATATCTCTTACCTTTCCGGTCCAGCCAACACCCTTCCAGATACAGAAATACACAAGGATCCAGGCAATGGCCAGTGTGATGGCCAGCGGCCAGCGTATCTGACCTGGCTTATCCAGCCCGTCCGTCATCTGATGCATGTTGCGCCTGGTTGAATGATGGAGAGAGGAGAAAGTCACCCAGGGCTGGCAGGAGCTGGAGTGACTGGGGCGGGGAGGGGCCCAGGGCATGGATGAGGACAATATCCTCCCCCGTGGCTGTGCTGACACTGTGATCACCATGATTCAAGAGGTGGATGGGGACTGCCAGGCCCATTAGACTAATCAGTAGAAAGTACTGTCTGGTCAAGAGATCAAAGAGAGCAGGACCTGCCCGGGCCTTGGCCAGCCGCCGTCATTGCTTATCTCAGTGGCCCAGCGGCCTTCTGGGGGACCCTGTCTTCCCTTTTGCTCTGTCCCTCCTCCAGCCCCAGAGAGCTATCTACATTGCAAATCTGAGCATGCCACTTCACTGCTTCAAGTCCTGCAATGAATAGCTCCCCCCTGTCCTCAGAATGAAGCCCAGACTGCCCAGCCAGCCTTCCAGTGCCTCTGTGGGCTGGCCTTCGCGTTGCTGTGGTCTCAGGGCTCACCGCAACCTCCTCAAGCCTGTCAGATGGGACCATTTGTCATCCCCCCTCCCTGGTTCCCTGCCTGCTCTTCTTCTCCAGGCCTGCATGCTAGCTCTTCCCATGCCAGCCCCTGCCTTCCCTACACTGTCTCATCTCTAGACGGTGCTCCCCATCTCAGCTGTCCAGGTGCCTCCTTGGGGACCCTGTCACCTCCTGTGAACCCCTCCTCTGAGCACTGGTCACCCAGGGTTGCCACTACCCGTGTACATATCTGTGTCTCCAATCACACTGGCAGACAGCAGGGTCTCAGAGATGCTTACTGAATAAATGTCGAATGCCAAGTCTGAACATGCTGGAAAGCTCATGTGGGAGGGGCCAGAAAGCAGAACCCACTAGAGCAGAATCTGCTTATCTGGTGGCCTCCTATTGGGACCCCATGTTGTCCTTTGCTCTGTCCCTTCTCCAGCCCCAAGAAAATTTGGTTTTTATTTTTAAGGACACAGCCTAGCCAAGGACACTGCACCACAAAGAGATTGGGCAGCACTTTTCTGATGCCTCCTGAGAACAGCTCTTTCTGGGAGCTTATCCAAGGTGTTCTAGGACCTTCTAGGCTGCTCTTGGACCCTTCCAAACTACTCAGCATAGATACTTCCTTCACGCCAAAGAGATTTGAGTCTCAGTATCTCATTATGTCAAATCAATACCCCCAACACACAACTACTTCTATGGGACACCCCCTTGAAGATACAGTCAGCATGGCCAGTGTGTGTGTGTGTGTGTGTGTGTGTGTGTGTGTGTGTGTGTGTGTGTGTGTGTGTGTATGTGTGTGTGTGTGTTCATTCCAAGTGACTTGGGTTTATACATAGATTGGCTGGTTTTCAGGATGAACTGAGGCGCTGTCGACCTCTCTGGGCAATTCTTCTTGACTGTGCTGGTTATTTCCCTCCATTTGCCCCTCTGGTCCACTTCTCCCCCTCCATTCCCCACCCTCTGCTAGGTCCCAGGGTCCTGACTGAGATGCCTACATCACCTGGTCCCTTGCCTTCTGGCTTCTAGCTGGGTTCAGCCAATAGGAGGCACTGGCAGGAGATCAGAGGCAGAGATGTGGGGGAATTATTCTCCCTTCTGGACCATGGCTTTAGTTGCAGCTGGGTTTCTCTACTGAGGCTGGGAGCTCATGTCTCATGGCCATGCCCACGGTCCAGCCCTTTCTGGGGAGGAAAGCGCTTCATCATCCCTTGGGGCTCCCTTGACCCTGCCCACACCTCTACAAATACAGTCATGTATCGCTTAGTGACAGGGACATGTTCTGAGAAATGTACCATTAGATGATTTCATCGTGTGTGTACATCATGGAGTGAACTCACACAAACCCGGATGGTACAGCCCACTATACAACGGGACTGTATGGTGTGGCCTGTTGCTTCTAAGCTACAAACCTGTACATCAGGTGACTGTACGGAATCCTGTAGGCAGTTGTAATATGATGGTTAAATATGTCTATTTAAACAGATGTAAACATAGAAAATAAGTAGTAAAAATGCAGAATTATAATCTTATGGGACCACTGTCATGTATGTAGTTTGTTGTTGACAGAAACTCTACAGCACATGACTGTAGTCCCTTTGTCACACTCTTCTATGATCCCTCTGAGAGGACTGTCTCCTATAGAGCCCTGGCTGATGTGTCCCCTGGCTCCCACAGACAGCCCCGCACTCACTCCCAGAACTCCACCACAGCGCTGGTCATGTTGGTGGTGTTGACCATGCTATAGTTGGAGAAGCAGCGGTCCGTGTTCCAGGGGTTGTCGCACTGTTTCCATGGCAGTGTCTGCAAGAGCACAGTCATGAGGACAAATCCGGCTAAACCCCCAGGGGCCAGCAAAAGCGGTCCCAGTGCACCCTGCCCACCCTCATGGTCCCCCAAGCCTCCTCATGGCCGTTATCCCACCTCCCCTTCTCAGCGCCTCTGGGAGGAAGATAGCACTGTGATCCCATTTTTTTTTTGAGCTGGAGTCTCACTCTGTCGTCCAGACTGGAGTGCAGTGGCCGCTCCCAGCCACCACAGCCTCGACCTGCTGGGCTCCAGCGATCCTTCTGCCTCAGCCTTCCAAGGAGCTGGAACTACAGGCGCGTGCTACCACGCCTGGCTAATTTTTTGATTTATTGTAGAGATGAGGTCTCGCCTGCCCAGGCGGGTCTCGAACCCATGGGCTCAGGCAATCCACTCACCTCAGCCTCCCAAAGGCGCGGGATTACAGGCTGAGCCACCGAGCCCGGCTTATGATCCCATTTTTTAGATCAGAGAGGGGCAGCCATGTGCTTGAGAACGTACAGCTACTAAGGTCAGAGCTGCAACGTGAACCTCAACCTGCTCTCTCAAAAACCAGTCATCCAAGATGCATCACGAGTCTCGTGGTGCACTCAGGGCCACTTCCCAGCCATGTGGCCTTGAACAAGAGACCTCACCCATCTGCCTCTCTGCACCATGATGACAACAGCAGACACTCCACTGCCAGGGCTTGTTCTAGGCCAGGCAGAGGTCTAAGCCCTTGACACACGGGTGCTCCTTAATCCTCACAACAACCCAATGAAGCAGGTTTTGCTTTTGTTTTCTTCCACTTTAAAAATGGTAATAAGATATACGTAACATACAACTTCTCATCTTGACTATTTGCAAGCATGCAGTTCAGTGGCATTAAGTACATTCACACTGTTGTGCCACCATCCTCAGCAGCCATCTCCCGAATGTTTCTCATTTTCCAAAACCAAAACTCTGGACCCACGAAACAGCTATGCCTCATTCTCCCTCCCCCAGCCCCTGGCAACCACCAGTCTGCTTCCTGCCTCTATGAATCTGACTGCTGAAGGTCCCTCATACAAGAGCGATCACACGGTATTTGTCCCTTTGCGACTGGCTTATTTCACGGAGCACGGTGTCTTTAAGGTTCATCCATGTCATGGCACGTGTCAGAATGTCCTTCCTTTTGAAGGTTGAAGAATATTCCACTGTATGGATAGACCCTGTTTTATTTATCCCTTCCTTCACCAATGGACACTTGAGTTACTTTTAGCTTTTGGCTACTGTGGATAATGCTGCCGTGGACATGTGTGTACAAGTATTTCCCTGAGATCCCGCTTTCCATCCTTTGGGGTCTATACCCAGATGTGGAATGTCTGGAAGCTATGGGAATTCTGTGTAATTTGGGAGGCACCGAAGTAGGTTCGCTTTTGTTCCCATTTTATAAACGAGGACACGGAGACTCCAAGAGGTTAAGTCTCTATCCTGAAGTTGCGGAGTGGGTCTAGAGTGGAGACACGATCTGAACCCAGGATGTCTGGGTCCTCACAAAATGGGCTCACAATACTCCTGTGAGAGGGGTGTCCCAAGGACTAGCCGTTGTGTTATACACAGTGCCAGGCCCCGAGAAGAGGCCCTGCTCATGGCGCCACGGCTGTTGACGGGAGACGAGGCCTGCTAAAGACAGGCTGAGCCCCCCTACTCCATTCCTAGAGGAATGGGCCCCTAGCACAACAGGAGTTCCAGCACACAGAGGGTGGGCTCTGGGTCCCATTCCCGTGGCAGGGGTGGTCGAAGGGGCCGCTCACCGTGGTGAAGGAGTTGTACAGGTAGTAGATGGCCCAGGAGATGATGACGATATAGTAAATGTTCAGCCAGAAGGACAGCACAGCAGCCGCGAGGCCCACGCCTGCGGGCGGAACACACCACTGTCACGCGTCCGCTCAACACAGTCACCCAGAGCTGTCCTGTGTGTCCCACGACACCTACACTCTCACCGGCCGTGAAGACAGGCGTTACTGAGGACACTGAGGCTAGGAGAGAGGCAGCGACGCACCAGAGGACACGTGCATCTGGCAAGACTCGTGTGGGGCCCAAGGTGGGCTGGTGGTGGGTAGGGCCAGGGTCTCAGCTCACCAGCCGAGGGGGGCCCACGCCCTCTGTCAGTGAGTGTGACTCTCCACGTGTCTGCTTGAGCGCCTGGCAGGCACTGAGCGTGGAAACAGAGAAAATCACACCCAACCCTTGCCCGGAAACGAGCTGAGAGGGCAGGCTGGTGGGCAGGGGCCGATGAATTGGGTCCCTTCTCTCCACCTCCACCACACTAGCATCTGACCAGCACGGTCCTGGCTCCTTGCTGCAGCTGCCACTCTGCTCAGACGTGACCCTGGTGGACGCATGTCAGCCCTGTCCCTCTCTCTGGTGGGGCCGGGCATGTTTGAAGTCACCACCCCACCCCGCTTCACACAGCTCGGTGGGCAGAAGCACGATCATGACGCCAGGGCTCCACTCTGCAGACTTACCCTTGAACATGGGGGCCAGCTTCCACACCCCCAGCCCCCCAATGGATGTGTACTGGCCGAGGGAGCACTCCAGCAGGAAGAGTGGCACTCCCGCGAAGATGAGCGTCAGGAAGTAGGGGATCAGGAAGGCTCCTGCACGGGAGAGAGAGAGGCGCTCGTGGCACTGAGACTTTCATAACTTCCTGTCAGGGGGAGCACCAGGGTTCTGTGTTCCCAGCCAGGACTGCCTTACACCCTGCCTCAGAAGCAGCACAAAGCCAGACTGAGGCCCAAGGGATCCCTTGCTCAAAGAACGCCCCCTGTTCTTTGCAAAATAAAGAGAAGAACGTTTTGGTATCATTCACAGAGGACAGTTGTCCTTTGGGAACCTTTCAATAAAGGGGCAAGAAGCAAGGAATGGAGCTTGGGACTCCCTCTGGAGTATTTAGGGGGACTTTTCTCCTAAGGCTGCCCCAGACCCGGCAGGAAAGATCCTCAGGCCAGCACCTACCGCCACCGTTTTTCCCGCAGAGGTAGGGGAACCTCCAGACGTTGCCCAGGCCGATGGCATAGCCCACACAGGACATGAGGAAGTCGAAGCGGCCTTTCCACGTGTCCCGGTCAGGAAGGTCCGCAGCCTTCTTCTGCACCTTGACCACCAGGGTTTTGGGCTTGTCATTGGCCACAGGGGCCTCGCTGACCTCAGTGGAGATCTGCCCATCGGCCACCTTGCTGCCGTTGGTCGCCATGTCTCGGAGTTTGGACACAGGGGTCCTGGCGGATGGACGTGCGATGTCAGCTCCGGTCCACGTGGACAGCAGTTTTGCGGCTCAAGGTCAACCTGGGAGGAGAGGGGTAGGGTGACAGGCACAGAAAGGGAGCGGGGCCTCGGAGTCGCCTTGCCCCCAAATAGCCCACAAAACAGACCAGAGGTCTGCGAAGGCTCTCCTTAAGCCTTCTTGCCCCCAACCGGCCCCTGCTTCTGGGGAAAGAAGGTGACTTCTGTTTCCAAAGGCACAGTGATGTTTCCTGGACCAGCTTCAGCTCTGGCCATCTGTGCCACACCTTCCGTTATGTGTCCTGCTCGGAGGAGAACCCTGAGGGCGACCACACTTCCAAACATAAATATGAAGCGTTTAAGGCTAAAACCCTGCTCTTTGCCTCCAAGGATGGAGTAAAGTGACCTGACATACCCTGAGGCCATAACAGCCATGGCCAGGGCCAGCAAGGGAGGAGCTCCACCTGGGGCTGGGAGGGGAGGTGTCCCAGGCCCCAGGTGGGCGAAGGTGGCAGCCTGAGGCTAGGGGCTCTGGGCAAATCCACTTCACCACTTGGGTGGTGCGACTTTCAGCACACTTAACCTTTCTGTGCTCACGCTCCCTGGCTTTCAAGGTGAAGATGGTAACAGGACATTCTTCACTGGGTTATGGGGAAGCCCTGAATCTGTACTTTCAATGAACTCTGAAAAAGGAGATTCTTATGCCAGCAGCCCAGCCCAGCCCTCGTAGAGGAAGGACCGCTGGCTCGGATGACCTCTTTGGGTCCTTGGTCCTTCCAGGATGTTCTACCGACGCTCTGTATCCTTCTTACCTCTCTAGTTCTAGAGGCAGTGATGGATGAAGGAAATTGGACTCACTCTTAGTCCTGGTTTCAAATTTCCAGCTGGCCTTTCAGCAGCTGAGTCCTACTGTTCAGTACTGCCACTCAGTGCTACTACTCAGCACTACTCTTGATTGCTCTCTGTTTCCCCATCTATAAAAATGGGGGCACTCCTCTCTGGCTTGTAGAACCGTGGCAAAAAAAAGAGCTTCCATGGCTGTGAGAGTGCTTTTCACCTGCCTGCTGGAGAACGAGAACTCTGTAAACGGCTGTTGTGATCGTGGCTGCTGGCGTTACCTGCTGATTGTCTGTGGTGGGTCAGCTCCAGAAAGGTCCCTCTGCCACCCTGGGGTGAGAGCCTGTGAAGCAGAGAAGGGAAAAGAGGAGGGACGGTGAAGTGGCAGCGAGGGCTGGCGGGCAGCTCTGGCTGAGGGCAGCAGGGGTGAAGAAGCCCACGGGGCGTCAGGGCTATGTTCCACAGAGCGTCTCCAGCCAGGGTGATCGCAGCGAGTCCATGCAGCATGGCGCTGGCCCTTGGGGTGCCGGGGACATGCAGGAGTGGAGCCCTCTGCCCCCAGGACAGCAGTGGGGTGGCCCGAGGGCAGTGCGAGGAAGACGTTCCATAATTTTATCAGAAGGAAAAGAGAAATCGACAGAGGGTCACAGCTCTCAGGACCCCATGGGAGCCAGGGCATGCAGCTGGTTTTTTTCTCTGTCCTCCATCCAAACATGCAGGAATGTTCTAAGAGACCGTGTAAGAACACGAGAAAGAACACCTTGTTTTGTGGGTGAGAAAAGCAGTTTCTGAGTCAGTTTGTTTCGAATGATCTCATTTTTGCCCCCTCCCCCCCAAATCTGTCTGTTACAAATAAAAGCAAAAAACAAAGGCTATATCCAAGGATGTTTCCCACGGTGAGTTCACGAGTGACCTCTGTTTTCTCCTTTGGGCTATTTTTGATTTCTGCAATGTTCTGTCCAAGTTGTTTAAGTTAATAACACAGAATAAACTTATGGAACCCTCAGAACAAACTGGAACATGTGAAGCATCGTCTGTGGATTCTCGGAGGGGGGAGCTGAGCCAAAGCTATGTGTGGCGTGGGCCCGGGCCCAGCCCTTGAGGCCACCTCCCCTCAGCTCGGCCCCTGAGGGCCCCAGCCTGCGGTGCACTCGCCCTCCAGCCCCTCACATGCAGACCCCGTTACCAAGCACCATCGTCTCCTCCACGGATAATCAGACCATCTTCGGATAATCCAGACTTTACCGCCACCCCTGCTTCTCATTCTCAAGGATGGCCTGCTCAGTTTGAGCTTCTCCACGGCCCTCAGGCTTGTCTTGGGCACCCATCTAGATCTTGGCTTGGGCATGGCAGCGTCAGAGAGAGCACTGGACTCTGGCTGGGTGGCCCCCTCCCATCCTCAAGAATGGCAGGAAGCAGGAAGTAGCCGATTCTACAGTCTTCCAGGGAGTCTTGAAGTGTCATGTAACTGGTACCCTTAATAATCCCCAGGATCTACCTTGTGGGCTCTAGTTGCCACGCTCTTCAAAAGGATCCAATCACCTTGGAGCAGGGCTGATCACCTGACCCAGGCCAGCCAATCAAAGCTCCTTCCCTGGGAGTTTGGTATGGGCCCTGGGAAGGGGGCAGTCTCCCGAGAGACTTGGGAACTCTGAGGCAGCCATCTCTGCTCATCTTGTGCTCAGGGTAGCAAAGAGTGGGTCTGCTGAGGAGGAAGAAAACCAGAGATCAAAAGGCGGAGAGAGTGTCTTGAAGGCATTCTCGTTTGCAGTTTCAGGCTTTCTTGAGACTGGCTACATTCCTGCCCTTGGATTTTACAAGATGTCCCCAGAGTCATACAATGAATTCCCCTTTTTGGCTTGCATTGGCTTTGGGTTCCTGTGACAAAGCCCCTCTGCGCTGCCCCTCCCGTCCTCCAGGAAGTTCAGTCAGGAGCTCTTCTCCATGAGTACACTGAGCACCTCATCATGCTAAGCCCTGAGGGACCAGAGATGGTGACTGCTCTGAAGAACTCATCAAAAGGAAGACATGCGACTTCCAGAATACAGGGAAGTGTATTCGGAGTCAGCCCAATGCTTCTGACTTCCCTGACTTTTCCTTTTAGAAGATGCAGGACACATGAAGAAACAGAGCCATGAATTAAGATAATGGATGCTTCTTCGAGGATTTGGGATTGAGAGGCCTGCGCGATGTGCACGGCAGCAAAGCCGTCCGGGTGCCGAGTCAGACGGATCTTGACTCCCTCAAACACCTACTAATGCTGGGTGAGTTACTTCCCCTCTCTGATCCTCATCTGTGAAATGGGGAACTAATAACAACAACGATAATAATTATAAAGCACCCTCACAGGGTTGTGGTGCTCTCAGCATGCAAAACAATGCCTGGCACATAGTCAGGCCTCAGGCGACCTCAGCCATTGTTATCACTGGGATTGGCGCCATGTGTGTATGGATCAGGGCTTCTTCGCCGGGCACGGGTGATTCCCGGGGGCTCGCACGGTCATAATAATAATACTAACAACAACAACTAACGTTGTTGTAAGGGCTTATTATTCAGGTCTTTCAGTGTCTTCAGCATTTTCAAAAACTCAGTGGAAATCATCCTTTCAGTCCCCGTGGGGAATACTAGTCAGTAAAAATGCCAGTCTCTTTGTTTTGGTCTCTCTCATACTAACTCAGAGAAGTCTAGCTCATCACCTTTGACCCGTCAGAAGCTGGGCATGGTATATTTGTGTGTTTGGTTAACAACAACAACAGATTATTCTGTAGTAAATAAAGTCTGGTGAGAAGAAATATTCAAACATCGAGCACATGGAAGGAAAATGATACAGAGACCCCTGCTGTGACCACGCCTGGCACCCAGTGCTTTGAGGGGGGGTCCCAGAAAGCGGCCTCACCCACATACTCGGGGCCGCTGCTGGACAACTGGGACTCCTGATGCCAGCGTGAAAGCCTGCTGTTTCCCTCCCTTGTGAAAACCAGCAGGCAGGAAGCACAGGTGTGTGCATGTTCACAGCTCGGTGACCTGGCTGTCCTTCCAGAACATTGTCTCCAAAGTGGAAGCAACCTTCTTGCAGGTTGCCCGCTCCCCCTTTCCTGAGACATGCCCTTGTGTCTGTGGCTCTTGGGGGCCCTGTGGGAGGACGGCCCTGTGGGTCTGTCCGGGTAAGGCCACAGGCTTCTTCCTGAGTGCCAGCCTGTGCCCACCCTCCTTGTCTTGCTGGTGGGGCAGGTGAAAGGGACACCTCTCACCTTCTCATGGTTGGGGGCAGTCTTCCAAGGCCTTCCTCCAGAGCCTTCCGGTTCTTTCTCATCAGGCGACAACATTTCGCAGACCTAGAATCTGGCTACACATTCCTTCAGGGGCACACTAGCTACCATTAACTGAATTCCACCAAAACAACGTACAGAAGGGCACTGTTTGTGAGAGACCCTCCCCAGCAATACGTCCTCTGCACCCACTTCAAAGCGTTCACCCCTTCACTCACTCAGCAGCAATGGACTGAGCCCATGCTAGGCACCGAAGTGACGATGGAACACTTTTTTCAAGCATTTCGTATCCCGAACTACACCCTGGTCACCAGAATCCAAACCAGTGGGCTAATAGGGGCCGGCAGAAAGATTCTTTCTGTAAACATCAACCAGGGGTCTCCTATGTGCATGGAGCTCGGGTGGACACTTGGGATGCAGAGATGAGTAAGACAAGGCCCTTCCAAGGTCACTGCCTAGCAGGAGAGATATTTCTGCCTATAGCTGATCATAATACCTTGTGATGAAAGTTACAAGAGCTATAAGGCCTAGAAGGAATGAGTTAATTCAACCTGAGAGATACCCCAGATGAAGGGCCATTTAAAAAAACTTTTTTTTTTTTTTTAGTGGGAGTCTGTCACCCAGGCTGGAGTGCAGCGGCCTCGACCTATTAGGTTCAGGTGATCCTTCCGCCTCAGCCTTCCAAGTACCTGGAACCACAGGTGTGTACCACCACACTCAGCTAATTTTTTTTTTTAAATTATAGAGACAAGGTCTTACCAAGTTGCCCAGGCTGGTCTCAAACCCCTGGACTCAGGCAGTCCTCTTGCCTCCGCTTCCCAAGGTGCTGGGAGGATAGGCGTGAACCACCACACCCAGCTGAAGGGCCATCTGAGCTGGGTTTTGAAGGTTGAATAGGTGTTCACCAAGTTAAACAAGATGGAAAAGCATCTCAAGTGGAGGGAAGTGCATGAACAAAAGTAGGGGAGTGTGAAACTAGGAAAGTCAATTTGTGAAGGGCCTTGAATGCCAGGCTAAGGAACTTAGGGACCAGTTGCAGAGATGGGGCAGGGGTGATAATGTAATCAGATTAGTATTATAGAAAAAGACACACTCAAAGGACTCCTGGAAGAACAGAGTTAAAGAAAGAACACTTGGGCAACCCTTGTGGGGCCCCTCCCGCTGTGGGAGCTTTTCTGTTCTCTTAATAAATCCAGCTTTCAAAAACAACAAAAAAAAAGAAAGACACTTGAGGCAGAAAGGTGGTGAAATGTTCCCATGATGTCCCGTCCTTCCTCATTGTACGCTTTGTGACCAAGTTCATGTTGCCCAGGCTGGTCTCGAACTCCGGGGCTCAAGCAATCCTACCTCGGCCTCCTAAAGTGCTGGAATTACAGGCATGAGCCACTATGCCCAGCCTGACCAAGCCCTAAAGCCATTGATAAAAATGAAGCCAAACCAAGCAGAAAGATTACCTCTGCCAATCTCTGAGTGAGAAGATGCTTTGTAAGAAAAAGAAAACATGTACAGTTTGGAAGCCCTAGATCAGAAGTGGCAAGACGGGTCAACATTGGCCCTTGGGCTTGTTTTATTTGGCCTGGTGGGGGGGGATCAGCTTGAATTAGGAAGCCAGGAATGTGATGCTCTGGGATATGGTATCTCAAACAGCAGAACAGCAAGTGCAAAGGCCCAGAGGCAGAAATAATCTTGGCATGTTTGAAAGACAGCACAGTGGCCAAGGTGGCTGGAGTCCAGCGTGAGAGGGAACAGATCCAGTCGGAGGCGGTGGACAGGGGCCAGATCACACAGGTCTTGGAGGCCATGGCAGGGAGTTGAGGCTTTATTCTAAACAGGATGGGAGGAAGAGGGTGGTTGGCGCGGTGGGGGTGATCTGACTTATGCTGACGAGTCTCCCTCTAGCTGCCCAGGAGAGGCTGCACAGGGGCAAGAAAGGGACCAGGGAGGCAGACTCAGAGGCTGGGAGTCCAGGGGCGACGCTGGGGGCCTGAATGGGGGCAGGCGGCCCCAGCGGGGAGAGGCACTAGGACCTTCAGTGGAGGTGGCCCACTGGCCTTGCTGAAGGACCGGCTGCAGCACCCT